CCTTAATTTATATTGATTTTGTTTTATTATATTTATATTTTTTGTTTATATATTTGTTTATATTTATATTATACTTGTTTCATATTTTTATTTTTTATTTTCATAATATATATTGTATTCTATTGTACAATAAAAACTGTTAAAATAATAAGATTTTTAGTAACTGTACAGGTGGTTTTTACAATATTCTCTGAAACTCAAATCCCTTCTATACTCTTTATGTAAAAGAATTTGTACTCATTTTTCAACAAAGAAAACAAAATCTCATCACATGTTTCGAAAGTCGGCACTTGTTTCCATCAACTTCTGAAAATACGGAAATGCGCAGAATTACTCCATAATTGCTCGGTGTCTCGAACAGCTGATGTATGTGTGGGGTTGATGCAATCATAAAATCTAGTCAATATTTTTCTTCATTGTTTTCATCATCAAAAAAAAAAATGTGTGTATAACAATAACAATAAAAGTATGAAAGGATAACAATGGAAGTGAAATTGGATGCTGTTACGTGCTTTCTTTTCACAATCAACAAGTCTCATTCATAAATTTTATGTATATTTTGTATTTAAGTATACCGGAACTCACAGCTGACTTCCGTACTTTTAAAGGTTGAGAGTACTGACCTTATTCAATTCAATGAAATTGGTTCAAGGATATTTATTAGCGTTATTGACTTAGTTTTTAAAGGGGTTGTTTATTTTTGGGTCAACGAACGTTAAGACAATTCTTTGATTTAAAATGATTGAATACAAACGGTTTTTAAAATTTGGGAATTGCAAAATTGAATTTCTTTATTTTTGTTTTTTATATTAAATTTTTTATAGTTATCTCTATCTAATATTTCTGTATCTTAACGTTGTTCTGATGTTAACTATTAGTCACTAATTTTTATTAAAAAAAATAGAGTATACTATTGATTGCGACCCAAGTTTTTTAACTCTAGTTGTTTCATCCTGTCATTATACTTTTAAAGAATATGAGCACTTTTGGCGGTTTATTATTGCTTCATATCTTATACGAAGTAACAGCTTAAAACCCCATATGGATAGGTCTGTTGCTGCTCACTTTAAGTAATTAAGAGAGAATATGTACATATGTTACAATATCTATTATACAAAAATGGCAAGTATTGATCTCTGAAATGTGAACCTACTTGATAGGGCACCTTATCATGCAATGCTTTGTCAAAAATCCGGTAAGAAATTTGATGTTCTCTCTGCTGTTAGTAAGTAATCTTGTCGTGACTTCCGGAGATGCATCTTTCAGACTGCATTCGTGATCTAGTATTTTCAAAATTGAGAACCTTTCTAATATTACTCAATTCTATTTGTGCTCTTTCACAGGAGTGTAGAATAGTATTTTTTGTGATTTAATGAAGATACCCTCTAATGCATTTAATATATTTTTTTTCTTAGATTGATTATTAATTTAAATAGAAAACTTGATGTCAAATCGGTCATAACGGAAACAGAATTAATTTTCTGGATAGATCAACTACCCAACCAGTTTGCCAGTATCTATGGTCCATTAAATTTGTAGATCGGAAACTTAATTTAGTAATTAGCTGGTAAAGTTAATTTCAATAAATAATATCAGTGAAGGATTAAAAATCAATGAATTCCTAAAACTGTTTTAAATAAGACAAAGTCAAACATTTTTAATTTAAATAACTTTCCTGTCAAAAAAAAATCCATTCCTTTAGCGTGAATATTGAACATTTGGTATATTGACTAGCTTTGTTTTAATAATAATAGAGCTACTTAAATAATTGAAAAAAAGTGAAACAAAAAAGGAGAGAATAATAATATATAAAATTAATTATAAATGGCAATTATTATAAAAAATATTATTAATTAAATATATAAAACCTCCTACATGAAACATAAATCGTTTAATTTTTATTAAATTTAATTTTTTAACATTTTTCGTCGGGTGTAATAAAACTGTGAAAGAATTTATATCTGTGTCATAGTTTTTAAAAATAGATACTTTATAGGAAATCTCTTGTGTACAGAATATAAACACAACTACAGTTCTTGAGAGCGAGAATATTTTTTGCAGGTAAGTAACTTTATTAACTGTACAAATGAAATATGTTTGCTATATAAATTAGAGATTTCAGCATACTTCTGTATGTTTTGCGTATATATATAAATATATATTACTTTAATTAAAATTACATATAATAATTATAATTAGTCATTCTGTACTTATTTTTAAAATAATATGTGGGTATTTTAATGCATTTTAATATGCGTTTATATAGTTATAGTTATAATGGATCATAATGTACAAAAGTCAAATAAAATGGAAGTAAAATAGGGACACAGAAAATATTTTTCTTCTTTACATATTTGGGATAGTATTTCCATACTATCATAATCTGTTAGATACTATTATTAAATATAAATAACTAAAATTCATTCTCAGTTATTAACTTTAATATATTATTTTATTTATTTTATTATTTATTTTTATTTATTATTTTATTTATTTATATGTTAGCACTCATTTGTACCAGAGTGCTCTGAAAATGTAGGAAAGCAAAGAAAGTATACATAATATAAGTTCGGGACTGAGATTTCGTCATTATATTAAAAATGTTTTTTATCAAAGAAAAGATTCTGGATGTAAACTTTTGCATGCTTGATGCAAGTACTTTTTAAATTTATAAAAGATTACTTTCAAAAGGATTTGAAATAAAAGGTATCCAGAAAGTTTTATTTGGAACATATAATAGATATATATATTTATATATTCACTTATTAAATCTTATAATATATTATATAATCTTATCTTAACTATATAATCTTATGATTATATTATTTATTAATTATAATAAATAATAATAATAATTATTATTATTATTAATTATAATAAATAATATAATATTATAGTATTATATTATTTCCCTTCATAAAAACTAAATAGCAAAAAAAATGTCCAGACATTCACATTTGTTTTCTCCTACATACAGTAGACCTATCCTATCCTTATCCTAGTATACAGTAGTATATTATTACTTTGATTCTACTGCCTTTGTGGGTCCTTTAATATACACTAAAAGAAAGTTTTAATTAAAGGTTTTGATCGCATACGTGATAAAAAAAGTTCAGAACTCGATATAATGACAAAACTCAGAACTTATCAGACGATGAATTTATTAGTTCTTAATTGTTGATTAGCTTAGATTTTAGGAGACGTTATTAAATTTTTTTTAACAAAAAAGAAAAAAACGGTAAATCGGACATATAGTCAAAACGTAAGTCTCCAGGTATTATGCATTTGAAAATTAATGTAACGATTCTAAGGCAAATTTAGAGAAAAAGGTCCAGATAAAAATTTTTAGTTTAATACGATATGAAAATAACGTGGATAGAAAGAAGTTTAGAAAATGACAGAATCAATGAGTCTCTGCTAGTAAAATGCCCATTTAAAGAAAAATTCAAATCAATGAGAAATCAATGTAGAAGTATAAGCTGAAGTTGCTTAATATAAAGCGATTTATTGGAGCTGTTTCATATATTAGAGTAAGCAAAAGTAACTGTGTATTACATCTGAACTATATTAGATACGTAGGTAATATGAGATAAATATGGATATTATTTCAGATATATAATTGTTTGCGCTATAAATTTATATCTATTTTGTTGCTGAACACTTTTATATTCAGCATAAATCAGTCAGCAAAATAAGAAAAAATGTTGGATTAACTTGAAATTTCTGTCTTAGATATTATATTCCCTAGGAAATTTATATGCTTACTTTTGATTAATTTAGGATGATTAATTTTTGTATTCAATTTTAAAAAAATTTTGATTCGTTTTTTGTATAATACATACTGTATCTATATTTTCTTATAATTCAGCTAATAAACTTTAAAAACTATAAAATAATATATAAAATTATCAGTCTACGTTTACTCATAAGAAATATTAGAAATTAAATATTAGGTTGCTTGCTTAGTAAGTAAGCAATCTCGATATACTCCCTACTCCATATAAACGTGTTCAGATTTTTTTAATTATTATTAAGGATTTTTAATAAAAGAACAGTGTATACTTTATTTTTTTTACTAACTACAGGTGTTAGTGGTAAATGTAGAATGAGATCTTATCTACAGTGATGAATGTAATGTCATCTAAATATACTCACAGCTATCTATATATACTTCACTTATCTATTCTGATTTTCATCATCGTTCTTTAAATAAAGAAAAAATGAAGGAATGCAAAACAATTACCTAAAAAATTGCACTAAATAGAAAACGGCATTGCCATTTGTAAAAATTTTAAATCCAAAGTAAATTATAGAGAAGTATAAAGAACGATCAGGGTCGAATGAGCATGACTACACATAATTAAAAAATATTTAAAAAAACAAAATAGACAAAATGGTAAAACGGGCAACTCATCTATTGCGCAGCTAACAAAAAAAAAAAATATTAACAAAAATTTCCTGAAACATTAATGGCAAAAATAAAAATCAGAATATTCAAAAATTTCTCTAAATATTATTGAAATCTTTGATGATATTCAACACTATACGCGAAGATATGCTAGAAATGCCACAAATGATTATGCTTTTCTAAAAGTATTAAAAATAGATATAAACTCACACGAGGTAAAAACAAATGGTCTCACAAAATTCAACAACAACAGGCGGTCGATCGGTCGGTGAAGTCCAACCGAAACTGTGCGTAGACGCAAAGAACTCATTAGAAAGCTAAAGAGCTATAAAAATGTTGTAGCGAAAAAGCACAGTATACAATTTTGTATACATTGCACTATGTATTTTCGGTTCGCATTAGTCAATTTTCCGAACTACGAAAGTCCACAAAAACACATATACCACTGAGTTTAGCTATACCAAATATAATGAGTTTTTATTCTATACAAACGAATGTGTTTGTATATCTTTACACAGATCGGAAAAATGTGGAAAATAGAAAGAAAAACTTTTAGTTGTCTATGTAGTTGTAGACCACCTTAGAATTACCTTTCCGAATTGCTTTGGACGAACAGTGTTCAGTCGAGACCGAGCTCACCCGCGAGTTAGTTCAATTTTTCTCATTAAACAGACAAAATGGTGAGTGGACATACCATATCGTAAAATATGTTTTGATCACAAGGAAAATTTTTAGATATATATATATATATACATTATACATGCGTTTAGGGTTGCAAATAATTGTATATATATATATATATATATATATATTTCTTTTTCGAAAAATAATAATTTTAAGTACTTGAACCTATTTATACAAATATTTGTATTATTTCTTTTCCGTTTAAAAATAGGCCGATGTACCAAAGCGTGAAGTTGAAAGTAAGTTTGGATTTTTTGATACAGTCTACTGAGAAAACATAACCTAAGATTTGGAAAAAAATGATTATACAAGTTACAGTAATTAAAGGATTATATTCAAAACGATATTATATGGATTACGGTGTAACGATTGTGTGAAACGAATTTGTGATCATTTAAACAATAAAACATTTGAAGATATGTACAGTAAAAGTACAATGAAGTGAAATTCCTCCAAAATGTCCTATATATTAGACTTATATAAGATAAATGTATCTCTTATGAGGTGATCACATGGAGGCTTATAATATACATATATAAAACATGATTGATCGATGTGATATTGCAAAACAAAAAATAAAGACAATAATAATATTAGTATGATGAAATACATAATAAATAAAATAACAAAAATACACAAAAAAATCTGTGAAATATTCGATAAACTAAATCTCTTCGAGAAAAAAACCTTTGGCAAGTGAAAATATGTGCTACAAACCGATGGACAATATTTCATTAGACTTTCGGTTATGGTCTATTTTTAAAAATACAATACGAACAGAAACGAACCATCGTATATGTTTCGTAATAAAGTACAAATACAATAGCATTCGTGAACTATGCGATAACCAAAAATAAATTATTTAAAAAAAAAAAAAATACGAAATACACAAAAACAAAAATTAACTATAACAAAAGTGTGTATACGCCATTGCCATTGAGTAATGCCCAAATCCCCAAATTGAAATAACTATACATAATAATATACATGAATAAATATATAAGTCGACTCTATAAAATTCTTATTATGAGGACGCAAATTTCTAATTTTGGCAATTTGTTCTGTTTTCGCTATTATCGTCCGAATTGCGTGTGTACTTCGTATTCGAAACGAACGAAAATAATTTCATCGACGAGATCGGGGTGTCATATTACTGTAGATATATAGATAATACCTACACAACTATATATTTGTAAAAATATTATATTCTGCATACTATTATAGAATTAGAAAAACCAAGCCATTCCGAAATTTTCTTTTAATTACTAATGTTTTTATTTTGTGGGTGTGAATATATGAGTAGATGAAATTCCAATTGGATTATCATTTCTTGACCTTAAATACTTTGTATTAATTTTTTGTCTATTTTTAATTTACTTAAAATAAAATAAATAAGAAAAATATACAAGCTTTAATTAAATATTCATTTATTTGCTTAAAATATAATTAAAATAAATATGTCAAATGATTGATTAGGAATTTGTCATGATAAACTACGTAGCGAAGCCTTAGCAAAAGATGTATTAACAAATTTTGTAGGATTGTAGAGACATGTTCCATATTATTCAGGGTTACCCGGTCAAACCACATCATGTAAATGTGACCCAATAGATTATTGAATTTCGGGAGTCAAACGAAAATTGTCTTTTTGCAAAGAAAGTTATAAATATAATTGAGAATAATGAATATAAAATTCATAACATAATAATTCATTATAATAATTATTATAACACCATTTATCAAATAATCCAAATAAACAAATATATAATAAAAAAATAGATACAAAATTTATTATAAAATAATACATTATAATAATTTACAACTACATAAAGAATTATATTTAATTGCATTCGTTGAATTTTTACACATTTATTATTTTGCTTGAATAATATTTAATAATAATTAAAACAAAATAAATGAATGAATAATAATTCATTTATAAAAATAAAAATATGTTTCATGAAATCTTTCTTTAATTTTTTTTTACGTATCCATTTATTAAAAGTTTTTAATTCTATTTAAAATATATATTACATTTGGATCCATACAATTCATTTCAAATTTTAATATACAAATAAACAAACAGTTATATTATAAACTCACTTAAGATAATTAAACATAACTAATAAAGCAAAATAATAAAAATAATTAATATATGGTTTTATATGTACAAACTAAATTAAGATAATTAAACATAACTTATAATAAATAAATGTTATATATTATATTATATATATATATATGAAAATAAATACTTTGGATATTCATGGAATACGGATATTCGTTACATAAATAATTATTAATTAAATTAATTTAAAAATACTTGGTGAAAGTATTTATTATATATAAACACTATATAATATTTAAATATATATAAAATAAATACTAAAATTTTCGAAATATGTCTACATTCAAAATAGACTGAATCAAATTTGTTAATTTCTAAAAAATTTTTTTTAATAAAAAAAAATTGAAAGAATAATTTATTTATCAAGAATATTATTAATCATAACTAATTAAATAATATGTAATAGAATAATCATGCTTCAATGGTATTGCAAATTATGAATCAGCTTTGCTACACATCTGTCTGATATCAGAGGTCACACATATGATATATAAAATGCCTTTAATTATAGTAACAGATTCTTGTGAAAGAGCATAACCTTCCCCGCCTCCTTGATTTTAAAATAAATATTTATTTATTTATTTCAAATAAAAAATATATGATTTATATAAATATATATAATAATTTTACATAAAGTAGTAGAGGGTTTAGATACTTAAAAGTTATCAGCTCTTATTATGATGGATTGAAATTCAATAGTATGCATATATAAAATAAAGTATAAGTATAATATTATACTTAAAATATAATATTACTTAATAAATGAAAGGGAAATTCACAAAAAACTTTTATTTTTAAAATTTAAAAAGTTTATAATTAAACGACTAAGACCAAAGATAATATCAATTAAATTAGTTTAGACCATAAATTTGTTTTAAAGTCAATGAGACTAAGAATAAATTCAGTCTACACAAATAGGCTACATTCTTTTATAGGTTACAAGTAAATAAAATACTTTACTCAAATATCTGAATTTGTATAATTGTGCATCCAAACCACTAGTTATCTACTATCCCTTTCATGGTTACAGACCCATGCCATCAGTCTATTGCCAAATGTCTATACTTAATGATAGTGAAGGCTAGTCACTGGAAATTTCACCCAAAAAGAGAATGTATACTTAACCCTACAGATTATAATCTGTAAGGTATACCATACCTTACCCTATATAAAATATTATAAATAACAATTAAAATAAAAAAAACAAACAAATAAATAATAAAATGTTATTGATAGTAAACATTTCAGTTCTGGGTATAAAAAGTATTTATACTTGTTTTTATATATTCGGGAACAAAAAAATTGGAGAGAATTTTTTGATATCGCAGATAAGACCTGTTTATTTGTTTTTATTTTAAATATATAACAAATACGGTCGTATAAAGTTAATACTAAATTTAATAAAATATGAATAAAGTAAAAAAATAATTGTTGGAATTCCGATAGTTCATATTGAAACTATTTTAAATATATTACATCTTCCATTACCTAAAAACAGTTTTCTGATGGTCAAAAAAATAAGAGACACCTCGTTGTAAAATAATTAAATATTATATGTGTAATATCGTAAATAAATTGATAAATAAGAATTGAAAAATAATAGATTTATAGCATATAATATATTATTTTTAGAAGAAGAATTGCAGAGAAGTTAATTTTTGTATTATAAAAATTATTTTAAAATTTTAAATCAAATCAAAAGAAGGCCTTAAACGTTTCGTAGTAATAAATATCACGTATAATCATTTAAAGCCAATCTATTTGTTTCTATATACATATCTGTAATATCAATATACTTAATCGTTTCATTGATATTATAGATATATATAATGTTTTATTTTAAATAAATAAATTTTTCTTTCTTTGTATAAAATTAATATTACTTATTTTTTTTTAAGATGTCGAATTCGTATTCGAAGTTATGGGTTCGCCCGGTGTTGGCATTGATTGCTTTGATTTAGGCGATGCTCTCCGTGCCCTCAACTTGAACCCAACTTTGGCACTCATTGAAAAAATGGGCGGCACAAAGAAGCGTAATGAGAAAAAAATGACAATGGAAGAATTCCTCCCAGTTTACTCACAAGTTAAAAAAGAGAAGGATCAAGGTTGCTACGAAGATTTCATTGAATGTTTGAAATTGTACGATAAAGTAGAAAACGGCACCATGCTTCTTGCTGAATTGCAACACGCCCTCCTCTCATTAGGTAAGTTGAAGAAATCAAAATGTATAAGAAAAGTTCTTACACATATATGAGATATGAATTAATATTCATATCTATATATTCGTAATATGAATTACGAATATTATTAAAATAATAATAGTATAGGTACTACTATTATACTATACAGAGGTTTAATGACCCCTGTTTTTAAGTCCGTGAATGTTAGTGTTTATTTATTATATATTTTTTACTTTTTTCAAATATTTCGTAACGTATTTAAATGAAATTTATAAAAATAAAGAAATTAAATTTAAAAATATTTTTGAATATACTTTTATATATTATTATAATTATAATTTGTAAAAAAAATTTATTTCAAAATATAAATAATACATAATTAAATAGAATAATTATATTAATTTAATTTGCAAACAAGGGTACAATTAATTGATAACAATTTTTTTATACTGACACTGACTTTTTATCTTTTAATTATTAAAAATATAAACATATTTTTTTAATTATATGCTTACAGGTGAAGCTTTAGATGATGAACAAGTGGAGCAACTCTTCGCTGACTGCATGGATCCTGAGGATGATGAAGGTTTTATCCCATATTCCCGTAAGTACTTTCTACATAAAACTAATAATTTTATTTTATTATAAAATTATTTCTTTTTTGAAATATGAAATTGTCTTTCAACAAGACATTAAAAAACAAGTATTAATATATGTTTTGTATTTTTATATTGTTTCATGTCACTATTTGTTATATGTATCCACAACACACCTTATCCGATTCCTTAAAAAAAACAAATCACATCCTTATGTCAAATGCACTGCAAAAAAACAAATCGTTTGTTTTACTTAATCCTATGTAATGTACCACATATGCACCGTCCAAAAACGTTTGAATGTTTGCACCAAAAACAGAATTCGTCCAAAGATTGATGAGCGATCCAGTCGTCTTCGACTAAACAGTAAGTAAATTGTACTATTTTTACATGAGGAAAATTATATAAAAATTTCCAAACTATATAGGAAAGTAAGATAATGAAGTTAAGTATTCTATGTTAAATGTTAGTAAGGTATATGTACTTTTTAAAGAGTTATGACTAAAAACGAAACCCATTTAATTGCCTATATACTCGTATGTCTTGTAATAATTTTAAATATTTAATAACTTTTTTCAATATAATAATTATTTTATTTAGTTATTTAATTATACATTTATTTTTATAATTATATCAATTTATTAAACTTTATTTATAGTAGTTGCTGATTATGTTAGAAAATATACACATATATATATGTTTTATTAATATTATTTCATTTGTATTATATATATATATTATATATATATTAATTTTTTTTATATTATTATATATAAACTTTTACTATCAAGATTAAGAAGTTTTAATCAGTGATTATCCTGAAAAACGCCAATTTTTTTGTATTACCATTTTCGGATTTAGCAGACCAAAATTTTATACTTTGGAAATGACTTTGTTTAGCTGTGTCGTCTGAAGTTATTCATATTAAAGTATTAACAGGTATAACGTATGTTATATTTTTGCAGTGTTTTGCATTAATATAATATATATAAAACTAAAAATATTTGGCGGTATTTTAAACAATAGTGAATAACAACAACAAAATTTTTATTATTTATTATGAAATAATTATTTTGGTGGTCTTACAAGTTGTATTTGGCAATACTCAAAACAGCTGTGTGGTCCGTCAAAAAATCAAGTAATTAATAAATAATAAATATTTTGTTGTTGTTAGTTGTTAAAAACTAGTAACAACAACAATCAAATAATCAGTAATATCCAAAATATAGTTTCTTTCATCAAAATTGACTTTAAAAAGAAAAACTTAACACATTTTATTAATTTATTATAATTAATAAAAAAAGTATATAGTATTTTTATAAGTATTTACATTTATATAAATATTGTTTCAAACTAGAAAGTGATGATTCTTATATATATATATATATGTAATACAATTTATTATGTAGTATAATCGATTTTATTTTGTTCTCCAAAAACAGTTTAGATAGATAAACAATTTTAAATTTTTTATTATAATTAGGTAATGATAATTTAAGTTCAAATATACTATCTATAAAATAAGTTTTTTTGATTATTACCGGGTTTAGATCATTTATTAAACACATAAAATTAAAAAAAATTATAAAAAATTACACTTTAATTTGTGTTAGATATAAATAAAATATTATTTAATTATTAATTAATTGTTATATTTATAATTAATTATTAAATATAATTAAAATATTAAAAACAAATTAATAAGTGTAATTTTTTATAAATTTTTTATAATTTTACACATAACACATTACCGACCTACCGGCCCGGTAACAATCAATAAACTTATTGTAAGCTGGTCTCAATAATTAATAATTAACAATATATTTAAATTAAAAAGTTTTAAAAAATTTGTTTTAAAAGTATCCTCTACTATAATGATTCAGAACAATATGATAAATAATAATAATAACAATAATAATAATAATGGAATAATTTTTTTTTTAATTTACTTCACAGCATTTTTAGCCAGAATGTGTGACAGACCTGATCAGCTATAAACTGTCAACAAATTAATAGCTGCAACATATCTCCATAGATGTTATAGTCATCTCTCTCTCTCGTATATTATATAATTTAATTAATGATACTGCTACTACTACTGCAATTGAACTTCAACATAAAAATAATTTTTTTAAAAATAAAATTTAAATTATAAATTTCCAAAAAAGAAAAAAATTTTAAAAATAATTTTGTTGTTCATTTTTTTAATTATAAACACAATTTTTTTTATTTTATTTTAATGCAAAAAATAAAAAAAAATTGAAAGAATAACATTTTTACATACTAAAATATAGTAATAAATACATAAAATATGCATAGTGAAGCATAATTATTTACTAAATTGAAAAGAAAGCGAAAACTGTTTTTAGTTGTAAAATTGTTTAAAAATACAAAAAAAAACAAAAAAAAACATGCAAGAAAATGAATTTTAGTTGGAACGAACAAGACAAACTTACCATTGCAAAGTTTAATTAAAACAAATAAATATTATATCTATCTCTCACACACATTCTCTCTCTCTCTCTCTCACTCACTCACTTTTAATACACTCTCTCGCACAAAACACACACAACTAATGCGATGCAAAGTAAGCACAAATTAAGCCGTATTAGTATTTCTAATATATGACAGTTTTTAATATAGAGAAAATAGTGAAAACTGAACCGTACAACAACAACAGAAACTAATTTCATATATAACGGCCGTTTCAAAATTCGCATAAAATCAGTTTTAATGCAGTAGGACTCCTGGAATGACTTCTATTTAAAAACTCATATATAGAAATTTGATATGCTTTATTTATGCTACTTTGTTGTTTTTTCTTATGTACATAACACACTTTCTTTAATTGAAGGGATTTTTTTATTTATAATGATGATAAGCTTATTTATACATAATGAGTTAATTTTAATGAAATTATAATGATTTTATGTAAATAAATACTGAAGAAAGCTGAAGCAAGAACATTAGATTTCTTCTAAAATAAAATAAAGCAAATAACATCTATGCTACAAAACAAAAACGAACTGACTTGATTATATGTTAGCCATAATTTTTGTTTAATTATTTTAAACTTAATTAATGTTCTATACCTCCATCCCCATTCCCATCCTCTTCCCTCTCTCTTTCTTCGCCTATCTATTTCTCTCTCATGGTCTTTCTTTCTTTCCCTTTCCATTTACTTTTCTCTTCTACTTTTCCTCTCACTCCCGAAACTAGTAACTGCTAGTTCTTTCCATTGGTTCTGGAGATATTAGTACATGTATAGTATAGTATAGATTATATATTAGTCATAATTTTTATTCAATTAATTTAAACTGAATTAATGTTCTATACCTCCATTCCCATCCTCTTCTCTATCTCTCTCTTTCTTCATCTATCTTTTTCTCCTTCATGCTCTTCCTTTCTTTCATTTTCTTTTTCTCTTTCCATTAACTTTTCTCTCCTTCTTTTCATTTTACTCCCGAAAATAGTAACTACTAGCTCTTTCCATTAGTTCTGGAAATATTAGTACCTGTATAGTTTAATAGTTATGTAAGATAACTAGTCTTTTAAGTTCTAGTTAATACTTTCGCAAGTTGTGTTTATTACCTTATTATCACTTATATATTTTATATATATATATTTTATACATTTTAGTCAGGTTTACGTTTGGTATGCTCTACTTACCATTAGTGACGTCACGAAATTTTTATAGCAGCATGCAACAGCTATTTCTATAACTGTTTCTATAAATAGTTAATTATAGTCTCTACAACATGTTTTGAATGGGTTATAATGTACTTATGGAAGGGTTTGTAAGTAGTTAAGCGAAATGCAATGAATTCCAGTTTCCTTCAGCATCTATTTGAGATTCCATTCGGCGCATATGGGGGAGATACTGGACGTTCTATAATCTACAGCAAGCACGGTTGCTTTAATCAGGTATTTAATCAGGTACATTGTACCACAAGAGGTCTTCCAATGCACCGTTTGTATGTTTCATAACGTTTTAGATACATTATTCAAGCATATATCCTGCTTAGTGCTTAAGTCTTAAATAAAATAAATTTATATACAGACCTTATAAGTATAATGGCATAAACAAAACACGAGATATATATTATCAAAATCTTTTAAAATTGTTTACAAAAAACATATTTAATAATCATACAATTATGTAAATTTTACAATTATGTAAAACAGAATAAAAAACTTGTAAAAAATTATATCAAAACATCATAAAAAACTCTAAGTTAAATTTATGATTCAGTATAATAATACAAGGCTTCAGGATTAAAACCATCAAAATATTGATGTTTTAAAATATCTTTTGCTAAAATGCGGCTAGCTGGATTATAAGCAATCATTTTTTTAATTAAATCGATTCCTTGGTCGTTTATATTACCCGATAACGATGTAAGTTCAGTTGATGACTCAACTTCCCATTCTGATAAAAAGTGGGGAAGAGTGGTTACTCCAGGCCACATGTCTTCAGTGGGGGCACCTAATGTTCTAGAAAGTATGTAAAAAATATATTAATATATAAATAAAATATTTTTTTATATACTATATACGTATTTTATAAGCAAGTTTAAAGCAATATAAACATATTAGCTAATCCAAAATGTTAATTATATATAATTATAATAAAATTATAGTATAACTAAAATAATATTATAATATAATAATAAGAAAATTATAAAGTAATTATAAATAAAATGTAATAAATTTATAATTATAATAAAATAATAATAAAATTATTATTAAAATTATAATACAATTATAATATAATGATGATATAATTATAATAAACATATAAAATATGTAATGGCAGTGTCAAGTCTATTAAAATCAAAAAAAAAAAAAAACAATCAATAAAATATCTTATATATCTATTGTTTTAATATTACTAATATTTTTGTTCATTAAATGTAATTTAATTTAATGTTTAATACATAAGAACCACAGACAAGCCCTGAGTAGATATCTACCAAAATACTTTTCTGTACCAAAATTAATTCAAAAAGGTACCATTTCTGTAAAAAAGGTCCAATTTTTTTCTAATATCTTTTAATAAAAAAATACAATATACAGAAAATATACAACAGTAGAAGTCCTTTTATACATAACAATTTCATTATTTAAATAATCGAACTATACTGACCATGCATAGTGTATATCTTTTTTATTAAATAGTTCTAATTAGTTTCAATTATATTCATATTAAGTACATATATGAATTTTTTACTTCTGGTTACTGCTACTGCTATCTGTAGAAATACTTCCAGCATCACAAATATTACCAATATTATTACCAATATTATCGGCTGGCGATTTTCCTTTACATAGAAACATATGCAGTGATGTGACTATATAAAATATCTGTGCATATACCTACAATTTTTATAAGATTTTAAAAGTCTTGGTTGAAAACTCAGCACTTACATATGCTATTTCGAGTCTAAATTTTAGACCCGTCAGTTATGAAAATACCCTTTTTGTTTTTTCGTTCTATGTTCATGAACAGATGTTTTGCATAGTGTTACAAAAATAGCACATGTGGCAACCGTAGTACTAAAATACCACATGTGGCAACCGTGTTGCCAATGCTGAAAACAAACAAAAGAAAATAAAAAAGCACATGTGGCGTCACCTAACGGGACTTCGTTCGGTTATCGTGTGAATAAAAAAGTTCCGACGATAAATTATATGTACATGCAAAATAAGCATAAAAATGAGAGCGAAACAAAATTGGTTTCTATTTAAAAAATAGAAACTCTTTTCTGATTTCAATAAATTCTCTCTTTGCTCTATTGATTTTATGTGTGTATCAATGGACTTCAGAGAGATTTTAAAAACAATATTTTTAAAAATATTCTACTTTATTCTACTTTCTACTACTTATAACTTGTCTGTGATAGAACCCCGCTAATCTGAATCTATTAATATTGGGTTAGATCTGAATTGCTGAGATATTCGGGTTGTGGTAGTGATATTAAAAAAATCTAGGAAAAGGTTTGTATGTCTTAATATATTTAATTTTAATATT